AGGCCAGGTTTTCTTGAACATAGACCCAATGGGTTTAGGGAAGCAAATCTGTGTGCACTTTGCCAGGAGGGGCAGTTAGAGGAGAGAAGGGCCCTGGACCAGCCACGATTTGGATATTCACAACTGAGGGGACAGCAGAGACGTCCTCCCTCTCTGCCTTGGCCAGCGCGGTGGCCCTGCTGAGTTGCGGGAGAGGGGTGCGGTGGGCGCCCCTACAGGCAGCCTGGGAGTGGGAGGGAGGGGGACAGGGTGTGGCAGGTGCTGGGGACAGTGCTGAGCTGAGTGGAGGCTGCTGCGTGGCCATGCATGTGTCACTCTGTCCCTTTGGCCGTGGGGAGTTGCTAACTTCGGCGGCCCAGTGCCAGGTGCGAGCTTCCTGTTGAACGAGGGCTCCTCGTGAAGTCCACTCGGTGGCTCTGCACGGCCAGAGCTGGAGAGGGACCGTCAGCGCCCAAAGGGTTATCTCCGTGAGATGCTTCTGGATTAAAGCTCTTTGGGTTCCTGGAGATGGACAGACGCTGGCACAGCTCCCCCGTCTGTGACACGGGACTGGTGGCATCCATTAGGAGGCCGTGTAAAGGTGTGTGACCTGTGCCTGTGTGACCCCCTAGCTCTTAATTCGGTGTCCGATTGCCCCTTTAGGACCCGGGCAGGGCCTTCATTAAAAATGAACGAAAGTAGGAAATGGACTCAAGGAAAATCAACAATAGCATTCCAAGTCAGAGACGACAGCCTGGACATTGTTTTGTCATAACCTGGAGAGCATGAACCGTCCCTTGGAAGACCCCGTGGGCTGTAGACCCCGTGCTCAGAGCAGGGCTGGAGGGAGGAGTGCTGGCTCAGGACCTGGGAGCAGAGAGCCGATGTGCCTGGAAACAGAGGCTCAGTCTGGGGTGAGGGGTCCAGCCCCAGGCGGCCCCGACCTCTCTCCCCCGCACTCTTCTCTACCCCCTGCCCCGCACCCGTGGGTCCTGCCCTGCTTTGCGGCTGTGACCAGGGCAAAGCACCAAGTGGAGTGTCTGGCCCGGAGTGAGCACTTGATAACAGGGTGATGATCTGGTTTGTTGCCAAAGCAATCATTTCCTATTATAGAAAAGAGAAAAATGACTTTGACTTGGAGGAGGTCACATATCTAGCCCCTGGCTGGCTTGAGCCCAGGTTGTCTGACTTGAAATCCAATTCCCGCAAAATGCTTTTCTTAGCAAACGATTCCTAATTAATAGAATAACACGGCCTCGGAATCTCAAACCTTAGATTCAGATGGGGTTTTGATCAGCTAACCCTGCACTCGCTCACCTGCTGTGAATGCCTCCCCAGCACTGGGTTTCTGGTTCTGGTGTCAGTGGGGGGGGTTGAGGGTGTCCCCACCCATCGGGTGAAGGAGGAGACCCTGGGCCTGGTTTGAGGAGGGGTGCAGGCTTCACCCGAGTTTCAGGGAGGCTGGCGTCAGCTGTCTTTCCCCTTAGTGCTCGCGGGCACGAATCCTTGACAGATTAAGGGCATGAGAGTACCGAAGCAGAGAGTTACCACGGAGGTGGTGTTTGTAGATGTCTGCAAGGCTGATGATGTGCTTTGAGGTCCTGCCACTGTATTATCTTTAGACTGAAAAGGTGTCCTGAGATCATCGTGTTTGGTTGGTGAGAGTGCGTGCAGAATAATAGCAGCTGTTTGGGGAGAAGGAGTTACCATGTGTCAGGAGCTGCAAATATTTATCTCCCTCTCCAGTTCTCAAAACCTGAGTCTGCACAGTGACAGACTGGTAACCAACTCTCCAGAGAACAGAAATTCCTTATTTGCAGCGTATGCCCATTTCCATGGTGTAAATGCTTCCACCGCTGCTGATTTCAAGCTTATCGATTGCTTAACAACCAGTCGACAAAGTTCCTGAATATTTATTTACCCATCAGCTCTTGAGAGCCCCAGAGAGCTCTAGAACGTAGGAGCCAAGAAAGGGATTTTACAGACATAGAAAGGAGGCGTTAGAGATTTTACAGGTGAGGAAATGGAAGCCTAGAGGTCACGTGGCTCACCCACCCTCCCGTGGGTTGGCAAGAACTGAGCCCCAGTCTGATCCTCAAGGCCCTTGCTCTTAGGGCCTCTCGACTGCCTCCCGGCCACCACCTGACTGTCAGCTGAGTGGTGACTGTTTTGTGTCCAAGGCTGGGGAGAAGTTTCCTGTCCCCCAGGTCAGGTGGGGTCAGCCTGGCTAGGGGAGCTGACATGTTCCAGCCCCGTCCCTGGCTGGCCCTGCAGCCACCTCCCCTCCACGTCCACAGCTCCTCACCCAGAGGCCCCACAGAAAGAACTAGCACCTCGTGGAAGCTTGAGTGCAAACACCCCGTCCAGTGCGCCTCCTCACTTTCCCCGGGCCCTGGCTCAGCGCTGACACAAGGGTGTCCCTGCACTTAGCCTCCTGCAGAGATGGTCCCAACGTGCCACAACTGTTGTGGCTTCTCTGGGGCGGAGGGGGCGCCCGGCCCGTGGAGAGTAACCCAGACGCTAAGCTCTGACGCTTGGTGGAGAGGCTCCTGCCCAACTTACTCGAAATTGAAAAACCCACCCTGGTCCCCGGGTCTTGAGTCTGGGGCCGCAGAGGAAACCCAGGCGCTGGCCACGCGGGGGCTGCTGGCCGAGTTTGCTGGAAGCAGAATCCTGAATAAGAGGCCACAAGGACCCCTCAAGAGCAACTCTCCATGTCCCCAACGCCCACAGCTGTGTGCGCCCACTGCTGACAGCCGAGCAGGCTCAGCACCACGGCGTGGGCTGTTCCCCGGGGGAGGACACAGAGCGCAATGACCCGGGGAGCTGCACTTTGCGGTGAGCCCCGGTCACCGGCAGCTCCAGCCCTGCAGGAAAGTGAGGACCTCCTGAGGGTGGGGGTGTAAAAATTCCAATGCCCCGAGCCCCTCTCCAAGCCAAGGAAATCCCAGTTTCTGGGGATCTGGGGTTGCGTGGGCCTCTCTGCAAACTCCCAGCTGTGTCTAATGGGCACAGGGGGTGCAACCCAGCGACTTAGAATAATGACTTCCAAGTCTGGCTTCGGCGGGGGAGCGCTTTCTTGCAATGGAATCCACTGCAGGGATAGACACACAGACGGAAGCAGGGCCACTCTAAACCGTGTGCAGCCGCCTGTGACCGCCGGGCTTCCGAGAAGCCCAGATTCATCAAAAGCCACTGATTTGGGCATCTGACGATGGCACGAGAAGACGAATTTCCTGAAGTTTCTATGAGAGCATGCAGCAAGTCGTCACCCACTCCGGGTGGTGTGCCATGCCCAAGGGCCAGACCCTGTGCTGCCAGCCCACCCGGGCACTGGCAGGGCCCACAGACCCCTTCCTGGTGACCCCAGGACTTGGAGGCCAGCGTGGAGTTCTTGCGGGGTGCTATTTAACCATCTTCATGTGCTAAGGAGGTGATTCCCTCAACAGCTGGGACAATGTCACCTCCTCTGTCATTCTCCACCCCACTTCCTGCTCCTAATCCCAGAAGGGCCACAGAGCCCAGCTCCCAGTGGGCCCGTTCCCGAGACCTTTCTGCCTGCTGGCAGAGGATGAACCCAGAGGCCCTGCCTCACTCCCCCACACCCGGCAGATGGTGCAGCCCCAAGTATTAGGCAGCCCCCTGGACGGAGTCTTAGCACATGGCTCCCCCTCTGCCACATAAGACGGGCTGCCACTGTCCTGGGTTTCACTTCTTTTCTGGCTTCAGGCTGAGACAGACTGGCCCCAGTGACAGGTTTTCTCGGAGCACAAGGCCTCCCTCCTTCCCACATGTGTCGGCTTTAAATTGAGGCCCACACAGCCAGATGCAGGCTTCTGAGTCCTCGCTGAGACTCTTCCAGGCGTGTGGAGAAAGGCAGAGAGGAGGGTCTAACCCCAAGCTTAGATCTTCCCGGCCGACCGCTCTGTCTCTGTGAGTTGCTATTTATAAATTAAAGTGTCTCCTAGCAGATAAGACATTAGGGGTCTTCCTATGTGCTTTCTGAAAGCTTCTACTTCTCATAGCTGCCTGGTTATTTGTGACGATATATTTGGGGGATTAGCTGAGTGACGATTTCCATCCATGCAGTGACTGAGGGGGTGCTCCCTTTACCTGGGGTGTCTGGGCAATGCCTTCTCCAGTAGGAAGTGTTTGAGCCTGGTGTTTTAGATAAATGCCTTGTCTCTGCTTGTTAAAAAACCTTTGTTTCACGCCCTGACTTATTGCCATACATCTGCATAATCGGAGGTCATGTTTATCTGGAAGTGGAAACAAGTCCCTGATCAACAAGGTGAATTATTGTAGCACATTGGTGTTTAGAAGCAGGTGAGTCACGGATCAAATACCACCTATGGAAACTGACCCTCCACACTGTCCCTTCCCTGGACTGTGCAGAGTGAGGCTGAGGGCCTGGCCTTGCAAGAAGTGTCTTGTCATGGAAATGAGTGGAGAAGCACTTGGTCTGAAGGGTCTTTCTCTTTCCTAAGTAATCGGTTGGCAAAATGGAAATGTTGAGCCCCCAGCAGGGTTTTGGGAAGTATGACAGATGAGGGAGGGACGAAGAAAGAGGGACACTCTAGCGGGGGATGATGAGAAGAAAGATGCAAAGGAATTTGTTAGTTTTTGATGGTGTTTTCCAAGATGAGTTCCCAGGCAATCTGCGGCCAGATGTATGAGTATTTCTAAGGGCGAATGCGTGCTTGGTCATCCTGCGACCTTGTGCTTTGAGAGTGCTTCTGAAACCTGCCTTATCTGAGGGGAGAGCTGAGGTTGGTGCACTGGAGGGATGAGAGTCATGCAAACAAGCCAGAAGCTCTGCTCTGGGGTGCAAACCCAGAGGCACCCCAAGTATTTCATTCCAGAACTAAACCTCATGGGGTGGAAGCAGTGGTGTGCTGGAGCCGGAGCTGATTGTTAAATTTATGGGAATTTTATGAGCAGGTTGTTAAACACAGCCACCGTTAAACATTAAATTATATAAAATTTTCAATTAAATTAATTAAGAACAAAGGTGATCAATACTCAAAACTTATCACCTTCCTACTCATTTTACTCCATTGTACTGCATCTATGTTCTTAAGGCTACTTCCACCTGCTGCGTGTCTGTGGTGGAAACCGTGCATAGCGACACGCTACTGCATGTCTCTTCCCAATTTTGCATTGGTGATATCACTATGATAGCTGGAAATTGGCCATGGTGGGAATATGTACACTAGGCAGACTGTCAGGCAGAACCAACTGGTTTGGTTTATTGTTTTGTTGATTGTCCAAGTCAGTAGTCCTGAACTGGGGGGGGGGGGATTTTGCCCCCAGGGGACATTTGGCACTATATGGAGGCACTTTTGGCAGGGCGGGAACACTGCTGGCCTCCAGTGGGTAGAGGCCAGGAATGCCGTTGAACCTCCTACAATGCACAGGACAGCTCTGCTCTACCCCCCGCCACCAACTCCCAAACCAAGAACTCTCTGTTCCACAACATCAATGGTGTGAAAGTTGAGAAATCTCGGTCTAGATATAAGAAAATGATGGGAATTTTTAGTAATGTAAAATAAACTTAAGAGTGTGTTATATCTGTCCTTATTACATTGTGAATAACACACACACATACACAGACGGAAAAAAAAATTGAGGAAATATTCTTCCAGTATTTGAAAACCATTACTTGATTTGGCAAAGAAGTTGCTCAAGTCATTGGCAACTGAATAAAATTCTGATACATATCTTCATCTTTGTTTTTCACTAAATGAAGATATCACCCAATGTTCACACTGGAACTACACTCGTCCAACAATTGCAACCTTAGATTGGCTGCAGGAACGAGAGTTCAGCAAAATTCAGCAAAAGCACTCTGTAAGAATCAATTGGCTATGTGGAATCTACCATGAAATTATGATGATTATTTGTAAGTTGTGTGATAAACATCCTTCATATCAGTAAAATTTGTGTGTATGTGCATTGTTTTTCCTGAGCAGCCTGTTGATAAACATTTACCAGCACACCAGCAGCTAGAGGTTGCAGAGTTATCGGATTTAGATGTAACGCTCTCATTCTGCTTCCTACACAATATGTTCATGAATTTTCTATCTAGAGAAAGCGCAGTACTGTACAGTTCTGGGAAACTGTTTTTTTTGGGAAGAACTGGGGTAGGGATGAATGCAAACGCATGCCCAGGCTGGCTCTGTGCGTGGGTGGGGTAGGATGCTTCTCCTGCAATGTGGCTTGGGCACACAGCAAGGCTATCTGCCGCTCCCTCCCTACCCCTCCAGGGGCCTCTCTACAGTGTTTGACACGGGCCCTTTTGGAGACAGGTGGGTTGTCACTAGGCTAAAAAAAAAAAAAATGGGTGCAGGGACAGAAGGGAAGGGGGTGGGTAATGCAGTCACTGAGAGTTTGGGCAGGATTTTGATCATGCATTTAACCTGTTAGATCCCACGGTAGTCCATGTGGAGCTGAAGTCAGAAGAAAGGGCCAACAGGCCTGGTCAATTCTGATAGCAGGAATGGAACCGGAGCACCCTGCGTGTTCTAAGTCAGTGTGGCACATTCTGATGAAAGCACATGACACTGAGGGAACCTGAGGGAACCGGCCGAGGGCTCGCAAAGGAAGGGACGGGGCCAGTGTCATCTGCTTCCCAGTTGACGTGCTTCCCAGGACACGAAGACTGAATCTAGACAAACGGGTGCAGCTTTTAAGAAGCCAACTTCGATATTCTGAGGGTCTCCCCACCCCCAGCACACCACATCTTAGTGCTGGGCCTCTGTCCAGGCGATCAGAATCATTCTGGATCTCTCATCGGATAGCTTTAAGGATTTGGGAGCACACGTCTTTGTCCGGGTGAGAAAGATGGCAGATGGAGGGATTGAAGCTGCTTTGTCCTCACCCCAAGAAATCTCAGGCGTGTCGCCACTTGTGTTGACAGTTCGGCTGTCAAATCTATAAATAACAACACAGGATGGGGTAGGAGGGTCAAAAAGGCAGCAGAATTGTGGCAGGTGAGATCTGCAGGGACCATAGAAACACTCTAGTTCAAATCCCACTCTTGCAGGGAAGGGGGGTCTGGAGCAGTTAAACGCCCTCCCTCAGGGAGGAGGCCAGGCTCCACGTGGGAGTCGTGCCCGGCAGCCCCGAAGTGTTACCCTTTCCGGGCACAGTGAGGACAGTCGGAGAAGGCAGCTGTGTTAGAAATCCAGAAGGAGGAGACAGTGGGCAAAAGCTTTGTTTCTTTCCTCTCCTTTCAAAAGTCCTGAAATTGCCTTTTGAAAAATTCTGAGATGAGAATTTAAATTTAATTTTCATGTTTTCACAAAAAAGGTGGCTTGATTAGATTTCAGCCTAAAACGGTGTTTGTGTTTTCTACACCAAAGCTTGGAAAATGGTCTGTACTTATAGGGAGACACAGAAGTCTGGAGGTCTGGGAATTCATATGTGAGAACTAAAAACCCTTTTAGACATGTGGGCTTTCATGCAAATTATATTTCCAAGGGACTTGGGTAAAATTTTTAAATTAAAATACTGTAGGTGGCTGTGTATGGATTTTTTAATTTTTTAATTTTTTTTTTTAATTTTTGAGCGTCTGTATGAGTCATCTTGAGTTGTCTGCCTTTTTCTTCTTGGCCATATGTCAGTCAGCCTGTTTGTCCCTCCTGAGCCGCTTGGTTAACAGAGTGGGTTCCCCGAGGCCACCTGGTACAGGTCATGTGACATGTCGGTCAGGCCGTATACTGTGTGGCATGGTGGCTGGGGACATCTGGGACATTCACAGAACCCTCTGAGGGAGTCTGTGCTTCTATTTTGGCTTCTGGATTTTCACATTAATAACAACACAAGTAGATGACTGACAACCAAACTCACTCTGGTGTCACTGCACTCGAATCTCTAAAATTTCTGCCAGTCCCTCCTTCCCAAACCATCCAGCTGAAGGAGAAAGTAGGGGAGAAGAAAAGTGAAAAATGGAACAGCCACAATACAACTATGGAATTTACAAAATAAAGGGTGACATTGGAGCTACATAGTACATGGATTCAGGAACCCCCTCAATGTTCCCTACTGTTCCCTAAAAGGTGGGAACTGGTCTTTCCTGTGTGCCAGAGGCCACGTGTTATGAGCTTGTCACACTTGATTTATTTAATGTGTATACACTCCTAGATGTAGGTACTATTACCTCCAATAACAGGTGATAGGCTCAGGGGGAAACTGTCCCCATGCTTCTAGAATGAAGTTGGCCTGGAATTCACACACAGGGCTTTTCTCTATGCTTTTCCATTCGAATGTTTCTTAGTGGAAGATGGGATAACACAAGGAGATGGCAAGACATAACTGAACAGGAAGGGGAGTTATCTTTTGAGAGAGTGTGGAAACGTGTTTGGGGAGCTCACCTATTTGAAGATGAATCCATGGCTCAAGTGGAAGTTTACCTGTATACAAGTATAGAGTTTAGGAGGAAATACCAGCTTTGGTGGATCAGTTGGAGGAATCCCAACCTAGGAACTGACTATGGATATTGCATTCTTTGTAGCTGAACCTCATTCTGGTTAGAGATATTGTTTGGTGTTTCATATCCCACCTTGATGCTGGTTTCCTTAGCACAGCTGATATAGTTACTTTCTCTGGGAGAATCTGGAGTCATCAGGTCATGACATAGTGTACAACGGTTGGGTTGTCTCAAGGCCAAAGCAACGCAGACTGGCTGACTGATGGATGGGTGATGTGGTTCCAAAGAGCATGGGGTGATGTGGAGCAGAGTCAGGGCACTAGGCTGTGGTTCAGCTGCGTGGATATTATGTTGGTGTACACAGGTCATTTTCCCCAAGAGCTCTTGTGATATTAGAGATGAAAACTGAACTCTCTTGTCCTCCTGCAAATGTAAGGTCATGAGCAAAAGGTGGCTAATGTGTTTGTGCCAGCCTCCGATCATCAGTGTACACCATGCTGAGATACACTCCCTTTTTAGTTTCACATAGCTGTAGACTTTCTTAGTTAACAAGGACTTAAGACCTGATCTGGTTCTGTAGAATTCATTTTTTTTTTGTAGCAGAAACATTCATTTTCAAGTACAATTTTACATAGAAACTCAATGTATGCAATAGATACAGTCAAGCAGCTCTGGATAAAATGGTAGCCAGGACTAAGAGCCTAATATGTTAGCTTCCCTTTCCCCCCTGAGACACCTCAGAGGAACCCCAGAGTTCCAGAGAACAGAGCTGGAAAACTGCTGCAAGTTAGGAAATTGATTGGGAAGCAATGGGATCTTGAAAACTGGAGTGGGGACTGCTATGGTTTGGATGTGTCTCCTCCAAAATTCAGGTGTTGAAACTTCATGGCCAATGGGATGGTATTTAGAGGTGGGGCCTTTAAGGTATGATTAGGTCATGAGGGCTCCTCCCCTCGTGAATGGGATTAAGGCTTTTATAAAACAGACTTCACCAAATGTTAGGCCCATTTTTTCTTGCCCTTATTCCTTCTGCCATGTGAGGACAGTGTTCCTCCCCTCTGAAGAAAGCATCTTGGAAGCAGAGAGCAGCTCTCACCATGCAACTGAGCCTGCTGGTGCCTTGATCTTGGACCTCCTAATCACCAGAACTGTGAGAACACAGATTTCTCTTCGTTATAAGTTACCTAGTCTCAGGTATTCTGTTATAGCAGCACAAATGGACTAAGACAAGGACATTTGGGCAGATCCTTATGAAGCCGAGGATATCAAACCCCTGAATCTTGCCCAGTCTTCTTTGCTAGGAGAAGCAGCTCTTGCACCCCTGTCTGGAGGGGCTCACACTGCTTTGGCCAGAGAACCCAGAGGGTCTTTCCTGAAATGGCTGCCTTGGGAGACACTGCCAATTCTCCTGACTTTCTTCTGCCATTTCTAGAGTCTAGAACTAGAGTCAAGTCACAGCACACTCTAAAGGGTGAGGGGCAAAGTGTGATCTGTGAGGGGGTGCTCTACACTCCAAAAGAACTGCATGATTTTTTCAATTTATGGAGATGGAAATCTGGGGAATATGTGTGAAAATGCATCTTAAGGGAAGAAACACACAGTAGGATTGGGCCAAATTTATTGGCATAGGCCTACTGTGCAAAAATCCTGGATTCAGTATTTTATTGTTAGGAGTTAGAAAGGGCTTTAAAAGCTGGTTTGGTTGAAACATGTACCCAAAGGTGGCTACACGGATGCTGAAATGCCAGCACTGCCCCAGGATACTGTAGGGGACAGTATCCAAAGGCTCAGGGACATTGGAATATTAAAGTGGAATTACCCTGTAATACCTGCTCTCCACTGAGGCAGGGTGCAGAGGACACCTCTCTCATCATGAGAGTGGGAAACACATTTGTGAGGGAAGCCCCAGTACCCTTAAGGAGCTCTGTAGGTGCTCTTGTCTGTAGGTCACAAGTTACAGTGAGAACTGCTACCACTGAACTGGGATCCCCAAGTGCAAGGAGGATAATTGGATCCCAAGTCAGCAGGGGCTTAGGTTGACATTCAATTGCAAAAACTAAGGTGAGGATGGTCCCTATAATGGGCAGTGGAGCCAAAGCAGTAATCATCCTAGTCTGACTCACAGAGGCCTAGGGCATTGATCATGGTGTCTTAGGAAAGAAACAGATGGGCAGGCTACTAAATTCTTACTTGATTGAATAAGTGGAAGAGTTCTGTGTCCAGTGAGCAGAAGTCTAGCTTGACTCACTAATCAGTCATGGCACCTCAATGAATTCCTACATTGGGGCCAGTGTATAGACCTAGAATTTTTTGAATGAAGGGGAGGCCGGGTTCCTTTGAGGAAGAAACTCCCACTACAGTGCCAAAATTTTATACTGTTCATTTTTCTCCAAGTCCTCTCCAGAGGGACCCACAGCCATTTCCCAGGGTTCTTATTCACTAGGGAAAGGGAAATAATCAGGCATTTTGGAGCTTACTGGACACCGGCTCTGAACTGACACTAATTCCAGGAGACCCAAAACATTATGGTAGGCCGCCAGTCAGAGTAGGGGCTTACAGAAGCCAAGTGATATGTGGAATTTTAGGCCAGGTCCATCTCACAGTGGGCCCAGTGGCTTCTAAGCCCAACCTGTGTTCATTTCTCCAGTTCTGGAATGCATAGTTGGAATAGACATAGTGAGCAATTGGCATAATGTTCCCTGACCTCTGGAGAGAGGGCTATTATGGTAGGCAAAGTCAAGTGGAAGCCACTAGAATCATCTCTATCTACAAGAATAGTAAACCCAAAGTAGCATTGCATTCCTGGAGGGACTGAAGTGTTTTGTTCTACCATCAAGGACTTGAAAGATGCAGGGGTGGTGGTTCCTACTGCACGTTAAACTTGCCCAACTTGCCTATAGAGAAGATATATGGGTCTTGGAGAATAACAGTGGAGTATCACAAGCACAATCTGATGGTGATTTTAATTGCAGCTGCTGTTTCAAGATTGGTTTCATCGCTTGAGCAAATTAACACATCCCCTCATACCTAGCATGTAGTTACTGATGTGGAAAATGCTTTCTTCTCTATAATCTGTTAATAAAACAGTTTGCTTTTAGTTAGCAAGGCCAGCAATCTGCCATCACCATTGGAGCTCAGGGTTTTATATAAATTCTCCAGCCCAATGTCGTAATATATTCTGCAGGACACTGATCATCCCTTCCTTCCACAAGACATCACACGGGTTCATTAAATTGATATTACATTGATTGGACCTAATGAGCAAGAAATAGCATCTACTCTAGACTTTGCATGCCAAAGTATGGGAGATAAATCGCACAAAAGCCCAGAGGACTTATACCTCAATGAAATGTCTGCAGATCCAGCTGGGTGGGGCATGTTGAGAGATCCCTGCTAAGGTAAAAGATAAATTGTTGCAATGTCCCCTCCTACAATCAAAAAAGAGTCACAATGCATAGTGACCCTCTTTAGATGTTAGAGACAACATAGTCCTCATTTGAGTGACTTGCTCTGGGCCATTTCCTGAGTGATCTGAAAAGCTGCTAGTTTTGAAAGGGATCTACAACAAGAGCAGGCTCTGCAATAGGTCCAGGCTGCCGTAAAAGTTGCTCTTCCACTTGGGCCATGCAATCCAGCAGATCTGATCATGCTAGAAGTGTCTGTGGCAGATAGAGATACCATTTGAAGCCATTGGCAGGCTTGAATAGTTGAATCACAGGGCAGACCATTACCATTTTGCAGCACAGCCCTGCCATCCTTTGTGGATTACTACTCTCCTCTTGAAAAAGGAGTTTGGCCTGCTACCGGGTCTTTGCAGAGACTGACTGTTCCCCACGGGCCACCAGGTTACTGTGAAAACTCAGCTACCTGCTGTGGACTGGCTATTATCTGATCCAACAAGCTGTAAAGTTGGGCATGCACAGCAGAACTCTGTTCTCAAATGGAAGGAGTATATATATAAACTACAAGTAGTGTACCTAGGTGTTCATTTTGTCTGGAAGGAGAAATGGCCACAGATATGAGGCTATACAAGTCATGGGCCGTGGCCAATAGTTGAGCTGTATAGACAGGGACTTGGAAGGAACATGCTTGAAAATCAGTGACAAGGAGGTCTGGGAAGAGGGATATGGATAGACCTCTTTGAATGGGCAAACAATGTGAAGATATTTGTGTCCCATGTGAATACTTATCAAAGAGTGACCTCACCAGAAGAGGACTTTAATAATCAGGTGGATAGGGTGACCTGTTCTGGGGGTACCAGCTGGCCTCTTTCCCCAGCCAGTCCTGTCATGGCACAAAGGACTCGTGAACAAAGTGGCCATGGTGGCAAGGATGGGGGTTATACATGAGTCAGAAACACAGATGTTCACTCACCAAGGCTGACTTGGCTACAGTCACTGCTGCATGTCCAATTTGTGGACAGCAGATTGGACCAACACCGGTTCCCAATATGGCACCATTCCACAAGGGTGATCAGCTAGCTATCTAGTGGCAGATTGATTGTGCTGGGCCCTGTCCACCATGGAAGGAACAGCACTTGATTTTTACACGAATGGATACTTAGCCTGCATGCCTTCTCTATGCAGTGCTTCTGCCAGAACTGCCACCCCTGGATTTATGGCATACCTTATCTACTGTCATGATATTCCACCCGGCATTGCTTCTGATCACAGAATTCACTTCTCAGCAAGTGAAGCGTGCTAACGGGCTCATGCTCATGGAAGACACTGTTTTCACCATGTTCCCCACAGTCCTGAAGCAGCTGGCCTGACAGAACAGTGGAGTGGCTGTTTAGAGGCTCAGTTACAACACTAGCTGGAGGAAATACCAAGACAACATTAGCTAGGTGGAAATGCCTTGCAGTCCTTGGGCAATGTCATCTAGGTGCAGTGCATGCTCCAAATCAGAGTCTGATACAGACTGCAGTTTCTCCCCTAGCTGGGATCCACAGATCCAGGAATCAAGGGATGGAAAAGGGAGTGGCCTCACTCACTATTTTATCTAGTTATCCACTAATGACATTTTGCTTCCCATACCCTCAACTGTAGGCTCTGCTTTGGGTCTTAGTCCCAAATGTTTCCACCAGAAGATGCAACAATGATTCCACAGAACTGGAAGCTGCAGTTATCATCTGGCCACTTTGGGCATCTCATGCCTCTGAATCAACAGGCAAAGGAGGGGATTTGAATACTGGCTGGGGGGATTGATCCTAATTACCAAGGGGAAACTGGATTGCTACTGCACAATGGATGAAATAAAGAGTGTGTCTGGAATACAGGAGACCCTTTAGGGTATCTGTTAGGATTGCCAAGTCCTGCTATTAGAGTCAATGGGAAATTCTGAACCCAATTTTTACAGGACTGATAGCAAGCCAGACCTTTCAAGAATGAAGGTTTGGGTCATGCCAATACACAAAGAACCATGGGCAGAGGAGGAGTTCGCTGAGGGCAAAGGCAATGCAAAATGGGTTGTGGAAGAAGGTAGTTATAAATGTCAGCTATGATCATGTGAGTAGTTGCAGAAATGAGGGCTACAATAGTTATGAGTATTTCTGTTTTCTTGGAATATATTTGTATATATATATTAAACAAAAAATTTTATTTTCTACTCTCTCTTATCCTCTTAGCATCTATTAATATATCTATTAATAAGACACAGTATAGTAAGACACAGTAATAATAATTAACTTTATATCTCAGTATTTAAGGCATAGAATAGCAAAGGATAAGACAAAATGTCACCCGAGGACTTTGCATCCTTTTCTGGGAAAAGAGTTAATGTGTTTTTGGTTGTGGACAGGATATTCGTGTCACATGGTGACACGAATTAGGACTTTGCTATTGTGTTTATTTGGAGATTAAGTATGTCTTAAGGAGACTGTGTGGTTGCCAAGTCGATAGGCAGTGGTCTGCGGTGGTCTTTCAGATAGATCAGCACGGCTTAGCTGTAGTCCTCAGTTCTTTGATCACTCAAGCACTTATCTGGACGTTGCTGTGGAGGTAGTTTGTAGATGTGATTAAAGTCCATAATCAGTTGACTCGGACATTGGGGAGCTATTTTAGATAACCTGGATGGACCCTGGTCCTTAAAAGTAGGGCTGAAGCTTCTCTGAGAGAAGATAATCTGCCTGCGGACAGAAGCCTCAGCTTGTGCCCGAGAGTTCTAGTCTGCTCTAGAACCTCCTCCACATTTCAGACTCCACTAGCAAGCTGCCCCAGCTACACAAACCAAGTCTTTGCAATAAATCTCTTACTGCATTTCTCCTACTGGTCTGCTTCCGAGTCTTGCGTCCGCCAGAGACTCTGCGGGCGGAAGTGAGCTGCAAGCACGGCTGGATCCAGGGAGACTCTCCAGACAGCTCCTTCCAATTTACAGAAAATAATGTGCTAATGACCACCTCGCTTATAAGGAGCGCTTTTTGGTTGAGGCTCATGTAATGTTATGTGCATCACTTTGAAATTCCCAGAGTATGCTTTCTTGGAGAAAAGGGGACAGGGATTTCTCTGAGCAAATACGTTTGAGAAATGATGTTGAAGCGAATTTGCTATTTCAGGAATTTTTTTCATAGCCTTTAAAATGCCACTGGGCATGAGAAGTCCAAAAAAGAATAGAATATATAGGATAGAATAGAAAGGAGTGCAGTGTCTACCCATCTTCTTTGAATATGGAAAAAATTTCCCCCCTCTGGGTATTGCAACACTAGAATTACATGAGAGATATTAATATTTAGGAAACACTTATCCATATATCTATGGTCCATAGGTAAAATCATCTTATCTAAATCTTACCTTATGAGCTTGCCTTTTACTTCACTCATGGCAAATTATACTTAGACCATGGTCCTACTTACTAAAATATTTTATGATAAGAACAAAGAACCAAAAATTAAAGAGTGCTCCAAAATTATATTTGAAAGAAATTTCATGTACTAATCTCAGAAGGATACCCAGTAGACATAGAGTGTGCTGAATTTATTATTAGTTGCATATATTATTATTTTATACCCAGTAGAAACTAGAAATCTTCTAGTTTGCTTATTTAGGATTCATTGATAGAAACACGCGCACACACACACACACACACACATGCACGTGCACACAAGCACATTTTACAGTAGAAATTCAACTGATTTACAGATTACAACAGGTGGAAATTACCTGTTTTCTATTCAGGCACTTAATATTTATTTTAGAATCATCGTGCTTTTAAATTCTACTCTATAATTTTTCCAACAGTGAAGAAAGAAACTAAAGCTATGCTGTAACATTAAATATTTTAAATGGGTTTAATTTTAAGAGACAAAATTATAAAGCTCGAGAGACTTGGGTAGAATGTCTTATGATTATGTTGCCACCTTAGTATTTTCCAATTTTTGTCTGCTCAGTATATGTTTCTCTCGCTCGTTACTCTCTTCCAGCCAAAAATTTGGGGGAATTTATTTGGCTTTCTCATCATCCTTACTTTTACATTACTTCTAAAATTTTTTATTCTTCACTAGATATGACAAAGTCCATTTAAAGCAATATAAATATGTAATTTACAAGCTTCAGTAGTATCAAGAGATTGGTCACCAATTTCTTTATGCTATACTAAATATGCTGTATATATGCTCTGTTGTAGAATTAACTCAACAAGGATACTGTGAAATGACTAACTCCTTTCAGGAAATATGGTGAGTTTATTTGAAAGACCTTTTTTTTATTTATAATATATCAGGGAATTCATAACTGGTGAGAAAATCTATTTTTTTTCCTACAGCTCTAACAAGATAGTTATGCTAGGGTGGTCTCAGGGCCTTAAGGGTATCTGTGTCCTGGGGCATTCTTATACAGTGGCCTGCATACAGCAGGCGCTATATAATGGTTTGTGAATGATGCTCCCTGTTCATTAATTTCCTTTAGCTCGTGTTGCCCACATGGGTTGCACTCAGGGCATGGGCTGTGCAGGGCTGGGAGGTAGCAGGTAGCTCTGAGGCTTCATAGGTTGGCTGGAAGCTCTCTGGAAGTTTCTGCAGCCTGCTGGGTTCCAGACTGAGCTCTGTCAACTGGCTGCATGTCCTGGGCAAGTCACTCTACTTGCTTGCCTTCATTTTCAAGGGCAGGCGCCATGTCCTATTTTTCTTTATCTCCCCAGTACCAAGATAGTTCCTGGTAAGGAAAATACAGCTGCTATTTTCTCCTTCACACGAGCAGAGAGTAGAGGGAGGGTGTGAAGGCCCCAACTAAGGCTCCCCCTTCATCCCACCCCTTCACGTCCCTCCTCCCTCCCCAGACAACACAATTGTGCGTCCCCGAGGAAGTGGGTTCTTTGGAGAGGGGGTGGTATTGCCGACTTTTCTTCACAATTGCTTTCTCAAAGTGGAAACTGGAATTTTAGCACGTTAAATCCACCATCCCTATTTTTCACAGACTGCCCATGGCTTGCAGCAGGGCTCACAGAACTGGGAAAAAAAATATTTCCTTACGGTCCCGAGGCCACTGTGACTCCATCCTGCCTGAGTTCTCCAGCTGGGCCGTCAATTTCTGAAACTCCTTTCCCCGGCTCCAGTTTTAAGCATCTCCTCCAGGTAGACGTGGTCTCCTTGGCCACGCCCCCTTCCTTTGGTACCTGGTCGCTGTACTTCCCATGACCTTCTATTCCCTCTGGGTCACCCTGGTGTGGTGATTTTCCTCAACGCTGTTTTTTATCACTTAAGAACCTCGAGAACTCAAAAAAGGCTCCCTATTGCTTATCACGCCAAATCTTATCTCCCTGGCCAGACACTGACTGATTTGGACTCCAGATCCTTCTCTTGCCTTCTCATTCGTTATTTGTGTCTTACCGTTATTTATAGGCTGGCAGGTAAGAGCAAGGGTTTTGGAGTCAGACGCTGCCCCTTGCTAACCGTGTGACCCCCAGGCAAGTTTCTTAATCTCTGGGGGCCTCAGTTTCCTCATCTGTAAAATGACAATAAAGCATTTGCTTCATAGGATTGTTTAAGGTGCTGCATAATTGTTTGTGGTGAGGATTTTAGGAGGTAACAGCAGCTCACACTTACACAGGGCTTACGTTAGGGCTATTCTTAGCATGTCTCTTACACTCTTGCTGCACAAAGATCATTGCTGTCACGCCCCTGCCCCACCTGCTCTGTCCCGTCTTTGCTGTCCTTTCCCCACAGCTGGCTTCACCGTCCTCGGGTTCGCTCTGACAGACTTCACTCAGCAACGATCCTTCCCTTGCCCTTTGACCCTGAGGACTTTCGTCCGAATTGTTGTGTCTGCCTTCACCCAGACAGCCTGCCGTGTTTTCTAGTATTAATATGTAGAATTGAGCTAAGCTCACGGTCACTATTTTTATGAAGACCTAAGTCCTAAGTATGATGCTCAGTTGATTAAAGGTGGTGAATTGACCTTTTTTTTTTTTTTGATTAATTTAATGGCGTTTTTAAAGATTTGCATAAAGCAGAGTTAACGGCCACCATATCAGCTGCCACTTCTGGGAATTGCACTGCACAGATCTCGCCCGTTCGCTTGAAGGAAATTAAGCATCTGGTGCAGACTTCTCAATCTGGCTCTGCCACCAGCGTTCCTGGTATCTGTTAATAGAAAGAGGTGCTTCGTGGGTGCTTGGAAAAGAATCTTAACTTCACCAAGGAAAGGGTGGCATGGGGCCGGGAACACTACGCTGGACTGTGGCTCAGCCCATCTGGAGCCCGTGACATCTGCAGCTCAGAACACACTTGCACCTGCGGGTCAGGGACCCAGGAGTGTCGCCTTTTTCAGAAGAAGACAAAAATGTTTCTGGCCATTCTGCTTTTTTCCGTGCTAGAAAAAGAACATGTTTGATCTGTAACAGAGGTTTTATTTGAGCAGAAGCTATAAAGAAGCATCTACTGACACATGATGCTGACTGGGGTAGGATTTTGTCCTCAGCCAGCTCTTACCATGTAAAGAATTCTCAGAGAAGAAGGCCCTTTCCTCCAACCCATTGCTATGTTTTCTCAAAGTCAATGTTTCCATAAACCTGACATCTGAGCCTTCCCTGTTTCTAAGATTGTAAAGCTAGCTCTTCCAAACATAGCTGCTTCTTCCTAGAGAACTGTCTCTTCCCAGAAAATATGGAAAGAGAATATATCACAATTCTGGAGGTATTTTTCTTGTACTTTTTTTGTGTTTTTCCAATTTTATAGAATGAGCTTGTATTTTTTTGCAATGGAAAAATAATTCATATACTTTAAAAAGCTGCAACAGCATTGCTTCTGTTCATTAGTTCTCAGTTTTGAATTGACATCAGATAATCCTGGACTTGGGGAACTACTCTGGCTGCAGGGTGGATCCCAAAGTCTTTGGTGAGACGTTCAGGTCCCTGGGCTCTGGCCTCTTCCTCTCATATACTATTTTGTGCTTTAACACTCGCCCTCTGTATCCAGACAATATGTCCCCAACTCCTGTACCCTCTCTCCCTCCCCAGTGGGGTGTGTGCCCTTTGCTTAGCTCTTGCTTAACTCTGGAACACCCCCTTCCTCCCTCTGCCTCTCTACACCTGACCCATTTGTCAAAGCTCATGAGCACCTGGGGCCAGCCAGGCACAGCTCTTTCTTCTCCCAATTGTGACCGCCCTCATTATCTGCCACAATAGTAGACTCAGAATGCATTTGAACCAACATTCGAACAGCTCTTTGCAGTCCTCAGAGCATGCTCACATCTATTTCTGCACCTCAGGGTCATGTAAGTGCTGGGTGGGATCCTGCCTTTATTTAAAATTTGGACATTTTGCTCATCGTAAGATTTTTTACATTCATTTTAATTTTTAAAGACGTTGCGTTAAATTAGCATGTGTCTCAAGAACACAGATCCCTGAGTTTTGGGCAGCCCTGTTACATTTTTGCATGCTAGTCCCACCCCTGCTTCATTTAACATTTACAACAGTCCCACCAGGTGTGCATGGGCGGTCTCGCAGGCCCATTGCACGGAGCAATGAAATTCATCTCTGTCATGTGATTCCAAGCTTTGGGAGGGCAGCTCTGTGGTTCACGCTCCCCTAGCCTTCCCGGGTCAACATGCTGATGTTCCTTTGCTCCAGGTGGTGGCAAAGAGATCGCGGGAGAGGTTTGTTATCCAGCCACCGTAGGGAGGATGGATTTGTGAAAAGTCCAGGCACTACCCCCGTCGCGTGTGCGAGTACGGCCCCCTGTACACCCCACCGTACATCCAGGGAGCAGATTGTCTCTGCTTTAGAAATTTCGTGCTCCTTTGCTGGGAGGGGCACAGAGGCTGTCAGGTAGAGAGAAACGTGGCTGAGAATAAACCAGCTGGTGGATCCGAGTGAGTTCAAAGACTGGACGGGCCCACGAGCTTCTGTCGCAAAGGATGCTGGGTGTGGGATGAGGCTAGTTTTGCTCCGGAAAAACACCTGCTGACCATCCTGAGATGACCACGACCTTGGAAGGCTCGTCTGTACCATCACGTGGCACCAAGCTGAACTTTTTGGAGGCACAAATGAAACTGAATATACTTAAAATCTACCCTTGAAATAAAAAAGTAGCAGAATTGCCTTTGAAGGTGAGTCCATTAAATGGAGTGTGGTTCAGGTGGGCTCGAGACTGGATTCGCATCTTACCCCAGGACGTGGAGATTTCCTGTGGTGTCACATTGCACAGATGGGGGTGATGGTGTCAGGTCTGGGGGGATTCTCTATTGCCTACTTTTCCTTTATTGGTCTGGGGTCATTCTGCCTGTTTGAGCTTTGGAGATAAAGCATGGGCAAGAATTAGTACCTTGAAAGTATAAGATAAAGAAAGAATGTGGATAATATTCAGCAATAAAAAAGACACTTAATTATTAAGCCACAAAAAGACATGGAGGAACCCTAAATGCACATTGCCAAGGGCAGGAAGCCAGCCAGTCTGAAAAGGCTGCACGCTCTACGGCTCCAACTGTTCTGGAAAAGGCAAGACTATGCACATAGTGCGGCGCTCCGTGGTTGCCAGGGGTGTGGGGAGAGGGAGGAAGTGACGAAGAGGTGAAACACAGGATTTTGAGCACAGCCAAACTATTTTGCCTGATCCTGTAATGGCGGATATATAACATCATGCATTTGTCAAAGCCCTCAGAATGCACAACACAGAGTAAACCCTAATGCACACCGTGGACTTCAGCTGACAATAATAGATCACTATCGGTTCATCAATAGTGTTACAACTGTAGCAAATGTTCTGCATGAAACCAAGATGCGAGTAACAGGTGTAAGTGTGTGTGTGCGCGCGTCTAGTGGGCGTAATAGGGAAGTTCTCTGGACTTTCTACTCAAAGTCCATGCAAACCTAAACCTCTTCTAAAAAATAAAGGCTATTAATGAGAAAGAAAGAAAGACAGAAAGAATGAAAGGAAGAAAGACATAATAACTAACGTGGCATCTAGTTGCCTCGTCTTCCAACGAAGGGCCTTAGCTCTAAACATCGTGTTGGGAAGTGGAAACCCAAGCTGGGACGGGGTGGGGCGCGGCTCCTTTCGCTCCGAGTGTGTCACACAGCCACGGCCACTGCTCCCGGTGCACAGGCCCGAACATCCGAATCCCCTTCCCCCCCCACCCCCACCCTGCACAGTCAGATGGGGCCATCAACAACGTGAGTCGTGACAGAAGCTTCTTGCCGTGGAGAATGTTCCGCTGGGGATATCAAGTCTGATCCCTTTCT